GCCTTTTTTTTTTTTTTTTTTTTGGTAATCTGGGATGCAGCTAAAGTTCCCCAGGTAGTCTCTCTTCAGCTGCCTGGGAAGAACAGAAGTGGTTGATCTTTCTTGGTTATTTGATAAGATCCCTAGGGAGGGGCTTAGGGTAACTGCATTTCTTTTGGCCAGAAGCTTTCTTGGTCAGATACAGAAATTCCAGAGAGAGGTGCTTGGTCGGGAGAACAGGATGGGGTTAGAGGGAACTTGATCTTCTCGGGCCTTGTAAGCCTGTCAAAACAGTTTTGGGGGTATTGTTTTCTGAGCTCCAACATGACCATTGAACTACTGCACCGGTGCTGTAACAACATGTCCCACTTTAGTCGCGTATGTATGTATGTATCTCACACAGGGTCTCTGTCACCCAGGCTGGAGTGTAGTGGCACCATCATAGCTCACTGCAGCCTCAAACTCCTAGGCTCAAACGATCTTCTCGCCCCAACCTCCCAAGTATCTGTGACTATAGGCGTGTGCCACCCTGTCCAGCCAGCCTTGAATTTACATAGCCAGATACCTAAGAGGTGTGTTTCCATCCAATCCATGCTTAACAGTAGCTTTCTAGCTGTCCGTGGTTGTATGGATTCTCTTATCAAGTCACACCTGAGGACCACGTACATCTCTAAAATGGCTCATGCTTGTTGGTTTCATCCAGAGTTGCTGCTTTAATGGCTTCAGGCCAAGCTAAGAGCATCACAACTAGCCACAGCTGACTTCTCTAGCATAAATATAGGTACCCAGAGTCAAAAGGCAAGACATGCCCCCCCATGCCCCTCGCAAGAACTGTAAAGCATTAGGAGAAACAAAATTAAATTCCTAAGGGAAAAAAATATTTTTGTATGTTGATGTTGATGGCAGCACTACACACAACGGAAACACCTCAAATGTCCCTAAGCTGATAAATGGACAAACAAAACATGGTCTGTCTATACAGGGGAATGTTATTCAGCCATGCAAAGGAATGAGCACTGATCCATGCTACAACATGGATGAACTCTGAGGACATGCTGAGTGAATGAGGCCAGTCACCAAAGGTCAAGTATCATATAGTTCCACATAGATGAAACAACTAGAATGGGCAAATCAAGAGACAACAAGCAGATTAGAGGTGACCAGGGGTGGGAGAGGGGAATGGGGTGTGACTGCTGGCATACACAATTTCTGCTTGGGGTGATGGGAAAGTTCTGGAAACAGATGGTGGCAATGGTTGCATGACGTTGCATTATGAATGTTACAAATGCCACTCAACTGTGCACTTAAAAGTGGTTAGGATGAAACATTTCATGTTTTACACATTTTTTTTTTGAGTTGGAGTCTCACTCTGTCGCCCAGACTGGAGTGCAGTGGCCGCTCCTGGCCACCGCAGCCTCAACCTGCTGGGCTCTGGCGATCCTTCCGCCTCAACCTTCCAAGTAGCCGGAATTACAGGCATGCGCTACCACGCCTGGCTGATTTTTTGATTTATTGTAGAGGTGAGGTCTCGCTGCCCAGGCGGGTCTCAAACCTGCGGGCTCAGGCAGTCCACTCACCTCAGCCTCCCAAAGGCACGGGATTACAGGCTGAACCACCGAGCCCGGCTTACACATATTTTATTTTGAAAAGTTCCCTGTCGCATGTTTCTTTTTTTGAGTTGAAGTCTCACTCTGTCGCCCAGGCTGGAGTTCAGTGGCATGCTCACGGCCACCCCAGCGTTGACCTGCTGGGCTTAGACAATACTTCTGCCTCAGCCTCCCAAGTAGCTGGAACTACAGGCGCGTGCTACCACGCCCAGCTAATTTCTTATTTATTGTAGAGACGAGTTCTCGCCAAGTTGCCCAGGCTGGTCTCGAACTCGCGGGCTCAGGCAGTCCACTCGCATTGGCCTCCCAAAATGCTGGGATTATAGGCTGAGCCACCAAGTCCAGCCTGAAGTGTGTTTCTGAGGGTACTGAGGACCCCTGTTTTCTCCACAGCCAGTTCTGGTGCCTTCAGGATTTGCCACAGAACCCGGCAGTGGATGGCATGCAAGTCCACGGAATTCAGCCTCCTGGGAAGTAAGAGACCCTGGCAGGCCTCTGGAGGGTCATGGTGAGGTCAGCTCTCCTTGCAGGATGACCGAGGAGACCCCCAAGTGGATGGAAGACGGCCTTGGAAGCGTGTCCATCGACACTAAGGGGTCCCAGTGTCTCCCCTGGAGTTGGCAGGGAGAAGCCACCCTCTCCTCGCAGGAAGGAGATCTGAAGGCAGCACCCCTGAGCACCACATCACAGGAGCCTGTAAACTACAGAACCCTCCGACAGGAGAGAAGAAAGATGATAGAGAAGGACATCCTCCAGAAGGTCACCTGGGGTGCCTGGGACCCAGCCTGCAGGGACCAGAGCCAGGAGAAGGAGCTACCTGGGCATACTGCCAAATCGATGCCCAGCCCAGAAATGCCCCTAGAGGCGCCTCGGGAGGGGCTGCCGGTGCTCTCGCTTCAGGTAGGCATCACCTCCTTTCTGGCTCTTCCTTGGGCCTGTCCCCTGCAGTGTGGCCACCTTCCCAGAGCCCTCCACAGGCAGCTTGAGGGTTGGCCTGCTAGGACCCGAGGCCCACAAGCGCAGGCCCACCAGCCGGTGTACACACCCCAGCAGGCAGGGCCTAGCAGAGAGCTGCAGGTGGAAGTAGCGAGAATGCAGAACAAGCAGCACAGCCTTCTTTAAAGAGAGAAAACAAGAACACTTTGGGAAGCAGAGGCAGGAGAATCACTTGAACCCAGGAATTTGAGACCAGCCAAGGCAATGTAGTGAGACCTCATTCCTACAAAGCTTTTTAAAATTAGCTGGGCGTGGTAGCGCGCGCCTGTAGTTCCAACCACTTAGAAGGCTGAGGCAGAAGAATCACCTAAGCCCAACAAGTCAAGGCTGTGGTGGCCATGAGTGTGTCACTGCACTCCAGCCTGGGCGGTAGAGTGAGACTCCAAATAAAAAATAATAATAATAAATAAATAATACATTACTTGGAGATTTAAACGTTTTGGCTTCTCTCTCTAACTTTCTTTCTTTCTTTTTCTTTTTCTTTTTTTTTTTTTTGAGTTGGAGTCTCACTCTGTCACCCAGACTCAAGTGCAGTGGCACGCTTCCAGCCACTGCAGCCTCGACCTGCTGGGCTCAGGAGATTTTTCCACCTCAACCTTCCAAGTAGCTGAAACTACAGGCATGCGCTACCACACCGAGCTAAGTTTTGATTTATTGCAGAGATGAGGTCTTGACAAGTTGCCTGGGTGGGCCTCAAACCTGTGAGCTCAGGCAATCCACTCGCCTCGGCCTCCCAAAGTGCTGGGATTACAGGCTGAGCCACCGAGCCTGGCCTAATTTACTTTCTAAATAAACTATCTTTCCTTCTTTTTTTTTTTTTTGCGTTGGAGTCTCACTCTGTGTGCCCAGGCTGGAGTACAGTGGCAAGCTCATGACCACTGTAGCCTCGACCTGCTGGGCTCAGAAAATACTTCCGCCTCAGCCTTCCAAGTAGCTGGAACCACAGGTGTGTGCCACCACACCTGGCTCATTTTTGATTTATTGTAGAGACGAGGTCTCATCAAGTTGCCTAGGCTGGTCTCGAACTCGTGGGCTCAGGCAATCCCCTCACCTCAGCCTCTCAAAGTGCTGGGATTACAGGCTTGAGCCACCGTGCCTGGCCTAATTTTTTGATTTATTGTAGAGATGAAGTCTCACCAAGTTGCCCAGGCTGGTCTCGAACCCCTGGACTCAAGCAATCCTCTTGCCTTGGCCTCCCAAAGTGCTGGGATTACAGACTTGAACCACTATCCCCGGCCTGTATTATTTATTTATAGAGTCAGAGTCTCACTGTTGCCCAGGTTGGAGAGTGTCTCCAAATATTTTAAACCTGTAAGGGCTTAAACAGTTTTTAAAGAAGGCCGCCCACACCTTAATGGAGGTGTTCAATCTGTCATCACAAAGGGGACGAGCCCATCTGCACATGCTGTTGTGCATTTAAACCCTGGTTCTGCCCTACAACATCCACGACCATCCATTTGGTAATGGGAGCTGGGCAGTAGGTGCTTGTGCCTCTAGGGCTCTGTGGCAGCCTCATAATCTCACCTGTGTCATTATTTCAGCAATTTGAAGATTGGGATTTGGATTATATCCTTCAGAGTCTGGCAAGGCAAAAAGACAACGAGGGAATTCGTGCACCTGGAATGACGTGGTGGGCAGCAGACCACTGTCAAGTCCAAGGTCTGACTTTGAACGCTGAGCCCAAGTGAATCCCACAAGCAGCTCCTTTCTGGTCCTTCAGTAATGGGATGGGGAGACGCAGGCTGGGCACTGGCAGCCCCGCAGCCTGCACTTTTCCTCCCTGCTTGCATGGCCCCTCACCATCCTGAACTCTCATGTTGTTTGAAAGCCCTCATTCATTCATTCATTCACTATATAAGTGACTGCCTGCTACATGCCAGGCCGGGGCCAGATCCTGGGGACACAAGAGGGCTCTCCCGACACTGTCCCCACCCCACGACCTCCACCTTCTACTCCTCCCCACCCCCTCAGGCCTTCCTTCCTTCTCCCTTCCTCTTCCTTGCTGGGGGGAACGGAAGTCCTGCTTCCTTTGCACCTTCATCAGCTCCTGAGCACACTCCTGCTCCCACTGGCCTCCTCAGTTAGAAAGGAAGGCCAAGGATGTCGCCGCTGTCACTGCATTTGTGCCTCTGCAGTTCTGCGAGTACAGCGCAAGCCCCCAGCGGCTAGTGGAGGCAGGTCTGAGGCAGGGGAGTGAGGACTCAGGACTCACTGTGGCTGACTGCCCCTGCTATTTAAGACGAGTTTTGTTTGCAGTTCACATACCTGTGGTGGAGGTGAAGCTGGCCCTCCTCCAGGGCGGGGTGGGTATAGTTGACATGCCCTCTGGAGGGCAGTGTGGCAGAATCTGTTCTCTATTTCAAAGCCACACAAGCCTTTGATCAAGCTACTCCACTTTGAAAATCCATCCTACACACGTATCCTAGTGGGAGAGGTGTATCTGCAAGCATGTCCACTGCAGTGTTGTTTAAAATTGTGGAATCTTGGAAATAACCCACGTTCATAGGACCCAGGCTAAGTCAGTGATACCACAGAATGCTCTGCAACCCAGTGAGCGTCATGTGCTTATGATGTCAGCGAGGACAAAGTTACTTTGGAAAGATCTATAGAGGACTATCCTGTTGCTATAAAAAAAAAAGCTCCCAGAACTGTTTCTGAAGGCCACTCCTGACAGGCAGGGTTGGGGCGTCTTGAAAAAGCCACTCCTGCTTTGCAAGGCTCCTGTGTGGCAGTCCCTGCTCACAGAGCCTGACCCCTCAGCCCCACAGGACGAGAGGTGGAGTCCGCAGACGGCTGAGGACTGAGAGGGTGGGCAGGGGCAGCAGAGGAGCCTGAGGGACATTTGCTGTTGGGTCCCAACTGAGCCGCCTCCTGTCTTGGCTGTCCTCAGACCACACTGTGCCCAGCGCCCAGGACAGGCTCATGGAATGGCTGACCCTCCTGGGCCCCACACAGCCCAGGGCCTCTGCCTCTGACCGGAAGGCACCTGCTGATACCCCCCAGGACAGCGAGGAGCAGGAGGCCAGGAGCAGGTGGGACTTCTCGCCAGTCCTGGCCCTGTCATGTCTTTAGAATGGCCCCGCGGTCATGCAGCATCGATTGGGACTACCGTGGGTGGGGTCATTCTCCAGATTCTGATCAGGCAGGTGCCCCTATTACCTGAGATAATCCAGTTATCTTGGAGATGGGGAAACTGTGGGGAAACTAAGGCTCAGTTTCCCTAGCCGTAAATGGCAGAGCTGAGACCCAAGCCCCAGGCTACCTGCTCTTTCCCCAAGCCCTATGAGGACCTTCTCCTCACTAGTCTCACAGCCTCCCTGGGAATAGGAAGGCTATCAGGTGACCCTGCCCCTTGGGCTCTAGCTCTGGGCATGTGACCTCAGTCAGGCCAATCACAGCCTTTCCCTGGGATTCCCCAGTCTCCATCTCCGAGTAGCCGGGAAGGGCTGTTGGCTGCCACCTGTCCCGCCACATGGCTGGCAGTCAAGCTGTGATGAAGCCGGGGGACAAAGGTGGAGCCAGGGCCTGGGGCCCGTGAAGGCCCAGCTGCAGTCCTGCCCACCCCTCTCCGCTCTCCCCTCCTTCCCTCCTTCCCCGCTCCATTCTGAGCTGGTTGCAGTGTGTTCCTGTGCCTGGGAACAAAGGTACCCATGAGCAATGGCCAGCCCTGCACTGTTTTATATGGCAGCCGTTAGCCACATATAGCTACTGAGCACTAGAAACGTGGCTAGTGCCAGTGAGGAACTGGATTTTTTATTCAGTCCTTTGATTTTAATTCATTTAAATGTACATGGAAATAACCATCAGTGGTGAGTGGCTACCATAATGGACAGCTCAGATATAGAGCACTTCAGTCTTCATGGAAAGTTCTATGGGGCAGCGCTGGCCTCCATCTGAGAGCTGTTCTGAAGAGTAAAAGAGCCAATGTGTGTGAAGTGCCCTGCGAGACATAGTAGGCACTTGCTGGGGGGCAGCCATTACCCCAGTGCTGGCCACAGAGTAGTCCCAGAGAAGCGACTCAGGGCCCTGCTTTTCCCTTCACAGATGTGTCTCAAGGAAGCCAAGCTCCTGCGCTGAGCCAGGCCCAAAGCTGACCAAGGCGGTGAGGCTCAAGACAGAGCCTCCCACCGTCTTCATTGACCTGCGGCAGACGGAGCCCCCAGACCATCCATCCCCAGGGAGGTACAGAGAGCAGGGACAGCCCGCGGCAGACTCACCACTTTGCAAACAGGGACTTCGAACGGCTCAGAACCCTGCTCAGTTGAGAAGTGCTTTCAACCCAGAACTGGACCTGGCCATCAGCCCTGCCTGGTCCCCTACAGGGGGGCTGGTGGGGAGAGAGGGACAGAGGGTACATTCCTCAGGCTGGGCTCCACATCCTGCACCCACCCTCCACCCCCTGGCAGGAAGTCGCAGGCCCTTCAGTGTGTCTGCTGCCCTCCTGCCTTGGGTCATCAGGGAGGTCCAAGTGCTCGAGTGCCCAGCGGGACCAGACCTGGCAGGGTGGACTGGGGCACAATCAGCAAACCCCTTTCCTCTCCCCACCCCTTCAGCCACAACTCCTCCAACAGCGAGGAGGAGGAGGAGGAGGAAACAGCAGTCCTGGGAGACCAGCAAGGCCCAGCGGAACGGGCTTCTCCTTCTTCCCAGGGGCTACGGTAACCATGAGGGATCCCCCAGCCCCCACTGCCTTGGGATGTCCCACCCCTGCTTTCCTGACCTGGCATATTTACTGTCTTCGGGGAGGTCTTTCTGCACCCACTGCAGAGAAGGGCCGGCACAGCACCAGTCATCCAGTCTGCTTCCCAGAGGGTCCTAACAGTGGCCAGCAGCTGCCTGAGGCATATTCTTTCTTGGGAACCAGAGCTGAAACTACCTGTCATCCTCCGGGTTCAGACATATGCCAGGGGTGTGGTCTCCACAGCCGTGTCTGAGCTGGGTCTCCTGCGTCCCAGGAGCTGTACTGGGAAGAGTCAGCTGCTCCAGCAGCTCAGGGCCTCTCGGAAGGGGACAACTCAGCCCCTGCTGCCTGCCGGAGACAGTCCCAGGGGCCGGAAGGCTCAGGCCCCTGAAGATGCAGCCACACTGGGAACTGGGAGGAAGCAACACATGAGACTCTGGGCCGAGGGACACAGCACCCAGGCCAGACTCCAAGGAGGAATTCCCCGGGCTCTGGGGGATACTCTCAGACAAGAAACCGCCAGGGATGCCCTGGGGCCGCTGTGGACACCTCAGGTAAGGGGATGCAAGGAGCAACTGGGCAGGTAGGCTGACTGCACTCAGTCCTGGTGGTCCCCTGGTCCTCCCTGCGCTTCCATTTAGATGCCTTCCAAGATGGGGACCCTCAGATTAGGGACTGTCCCCAGTTCTCTGGTAGCACTCAGTCACAACACTACCATGCACTTAGAGCAGGGATGCAAATACAAACGTGTACATAAAGCACAACCCTGGGGAACTCGGAGGTCCCAGTCCTCTGAGAGAGGCCGGAGGAGGCAGTATGAGGGCCGTGGTGTCACTCTCTGCGGGGCTGCAAGACTAGCCACCTCTTTCTGTATGATTTTCCTTTAATGAGCATCTATTACTTCCCTCATACAAGGTCTTTTTTTCTTCTTTTTTCTTTTTTTTGAGTTGGAGTCTCACTCTGTCGCCCAGACTGGAGTGCAG